GTTTTTCGTCAAGCGAGCGCATAAGATGAACCTTTTATGGTTCTTGTGCGCTGTGCAAAGTCGTATAGTTATACGTCGAAATAATTTGTCATAAAAATGGTACAAAAAATTAATAATGATACGTTCCGTTTTTCCAATGTTCTGTAATACTTGTGTGAATAGTTAGTACTGGTGCGGAATTCTTTCATGCTGTTGAATTAATCATTAAATTAATTAATGTGTTTTTGCCTTTATATCTTTTTGTCATAGCCTCTCCTTTCTGTTTCGTAGACCGTTACGGACGAATAGTTTTTCTCTTTTTTTCTGACGTCAAGTGTTTTGTCTGCCCCTTTGTTCGCCTGTACTCTGACACAGTGGTAGATCTAATCATTGTGTTTATGAGCTTCCTGCTGACTTTACTACAATGCAATCGATTTTTTCATGGACCGGTATTTAGATATTTTGGCTGTTTCAGACTTGGTGTCATAAAAAATGGCCTCGTCTCGTCAGCTTGCGCAGTCTGCTGTGTTGTTCAAAGTTGCTCGTTCAAATCACTGGAACAATTTCAATGACAAGTATAAACGCGTTTGCTTTAAAACTTGTATGGGGCTACTCATGAGTAGATGTGTGTTGTTCTGCCAACACAGCAAACGTAAACTGCTTGTTTTCTTGTGGTTTCTATTGGGTTTGTCCTCCTAATAATCAATAGTCTGCTAGATGCCATTTTAAATTTATTTTTAAAAAAAATAATTCCCTCTTTTTCTTTGGGGGGGGGGGGGTAGTAACCGTGCAACTGTGCGTAGTTGGCGGGTACTCTGGTGTGTTTTGCTCCTTTATTCCTGAAAAAAAAAGTTGTTACTCTAGAGTGGTTCCTCTACTCTTCGACACTCGTGACATGTTTTTGTTGAAAGTGCCCTAAAATTCCTACAAAAAATTATTCAACCTTTTCTACTTCTTTTCGGGTGCTTGCTGCCTCAGGTTTCGTTTATCACACGCTATTGAAATTGCCCTTTGTGTGTGAACCCTCGTCTCTGCTTATGGCGTACAAGAGGTTGATACGAGTTATGGAATGAGCGACGGAACGTATATTTGTCCTATTTGTGTCGCAAGTAAAACTTTTTAAAAAATCATGTTTTTCTAATAAAACGCAAGGTCAGTGTTTTTGTTTCATTTTGCAGTGTGTGTAATTGTATATGGAAACCTTTTACTCAAACTTAAAAAAAAAAATTGGTTGGTTGCACTATAAGATACAACATCTGCGTTTGTGTTTCATTTTGTTGTATATGTGATTGTATTTCTCGTGAAGAGAACACCTTTGGACTCTTGTCCCCTGCACATCCGTCCTTCCCATCCGTCCTTCCCACCACCTGCCTCCCTTGTGTGACGTCACGCGTGTGTGAAGTGTTTTGATTCACTCTTTGCTGTGAGGCCCGATGATCACCTGACACTGTAATGTCAATCTACTTATCTTTCTGTCCATATACGTATCTTGTTTAAATCTTCCAATCGATATTGTGTATCTAACTGCACGTGGGTCTCTCTCTTCGTCTTTCAGTCTCACCACAGTGATCTTCATCATCATCATCATGTATTGTTCATTTTAAAATTTCTTTTTTTGGTGAATGCCACAAACAAACTGTTACTGCCCGAACTGGTTGCATATTACAGAAAACTTTAAAATTATTTTTAACCCCCGAAAAAAAGAGGGGAGGGGTGGATGATGGCAACACCCAACTGCCGTACGTTTCTCATTAGCTGTCATCGCAAGTGTACGAAGATTATATTTTCTCCCCTATCTTCAATCATCCCCACCTCCTCGTCAATCAAACAAGTGCCCTTTCCTTTCTTCCTTAAGATAATCATGTTTAAGCCTGTGTCCTACCGACCCAACATAATAAATATATTACTTTTTTAAAAAAGAGCGTCTCATGTACAAAGGCCAAAAGGATGAGTGCGGTTGTCGAGCTATCATTCCTGGATGGGTGATTGCGATGAAGACATAACTGATTTAGTGAACATTGCTGGCCCTTCATTGATACACAATCTTCCTCACGTGAGCTTTGTGTCAAGGGCAAAAAGTAAGGCCCCTCTTTGATACCTGTCAAATTTCCACTTCAGGGAGATTTTTCGCCCGCGGAAAATACCCCCAGGATTTAGCAATGCTAATCAGCCAGTGTTATCGTGAAGCTGCTGTATTGTATTTGTTGGTCACTCCCCCTACTTAGTAATCGGCTCTCTGTATTGTCACGTGAAGTGGCCTTGACTGCTAACACTTTGCGGGTCATGTGCTTGATTGCCGCGTGTGTACCTTTTTAACAAGTCTTAGTACTTGACACACTTTTTTCCATATCATCTATACTTTAAAAAAATACATTTTGGTTCTCTTTGGTTCTTTTTACGTAAATTCAGCCTTTTCTTATTCTAAATAGTATTTTTTATATTTTATTCCTTCAGACTGTTGTCAATGGTATATTGGTTAATTTATAGGAACCAGGGTCTGTGCCTCTCATAGAATTAAAAACAAAGAGTTGTCTAGTCTTTTCTTTCCTTGTCTTTGTTAAGGTGTGTCGTTTGCTTCCTCCCCCCCCCCTCCCCTCCACACACATACGCCCACACAAAAACAGACAGACACACACACACACACACACACACACACACACACACACACACACACACACTCAAAACGTGTTATATGTAATAATATGTCACTGTATAGAATATATAGTATGCTCCATTTTATTATTCAAGGTTCGCGTTTCTTTTGCATTTCTCCATTTATTGTATTTCTCGTACTATTACATTTTATTGCTTTGTAAATACGTCATGCATTTATCTAAAAACAGGCTTAAGATTAACACTTTTCTACTTGCTTGCTGAGTAATATTTATTTATTTATTAGTGCAAATGTTTTTGTAAACACTTATATATGCTTTTAAACCTAAAAAATGATGATTTATCTCCACAATTATAGTATGTACAATTTTTTTGGTTATGATAAACAATTTTTAATTTTAAAAAAAAATTGTTCTTTGCTCCTCTAAAAGTCCAAATGATAATGGTACAATCTCTACAAAGTACAATTCCGTTCACAGAATTCTGTAGAGCGTGTGGTGTGCCCAGGAGGAACATCTTACTGCCCTAATGGAACCACCTGTTGTCAACTTGCTTCTGGACAGTATGGCTGCTGTCCATTGCCACAGGTATGTTGTGTTTCCTCAAAATAAGGTTGACTACCTGTCCTGGTCACTGATGTAGAGGTAATAGAAGTTTGTAGGTCTTGACAAATTGCATAGTTTGGTTTTAGCTGGTTTTATAGATCCTTATGGAATAGTTGGCTTACCATACATACGTTGTTAAATAAATTCATCCGTAAAATAATTAACCAACGCTGTACAAAATATGACACCATTGTAGATATGGTCAACACACAATGGCTTGTCTGCCTTGATATGTCAATGCGTATGATGAAATGTTGGTTTTGGAGAAAAAGGAGTCGGTATGTTTGATGTATACCCAAGCAGGAATTGCATTCCTTCTTACAGTGAGCAGGAGTGAAGCTTTTACCTAAACACTTTTTCTGCTGTGTTGTTTGTTCTTTTTTTTTGTCTTCTGTTTTTGATATAGACTGAAACATGTCACATGAACTTTAGATCAAGTTTGCATTCAGTTAGTCCTTATATATTGGGTGCTTGGCGGGTGCCACAGATATGTCTTACTTCTTTGCTTTCCATTTATTATGTCTGTCTGTCCTACTTTTTCTCAGCTTAAAATGACCATCATTGTGTCAATGTGCTTCTCTTTACTCAACCTCCCTCCCTCCCCACCCCCCCCCCCCCCAAAAAAAAAACACAAAAAAACCTTTGTCCTGACATTATGAAGATGGGAATAGGTCAAATGTCGCACTATTTTGTCCGCCATATGAATCATTCTTCTATATCCAACTTGATGGCATGTTTTGAATTTTGTTTTTTCACCATTTCACCATTGTCCTAAGGCTACATGCTGCTCTGACCATCTTCACTGCTGCCCCAACGGCTACAAGTGTGATGTTTCTGCTGGTACCTGCACCAGGGGTGGAGATGTTCTGTCTTTATTCAAGAAGGAGCCTGCCACTGAGGTGAGGATGATGCTGCAAGATCTCTACATCGCAAATTTTGATTTAACCTTTTGATAAGTGTGTCAGTTTGGTTTTGTTAAAAAGTTGAATTCCTAAGCAGTGATTTCCATTTTGAGCAATTGGTGCTTTTCTTATAGCTTGTTCACTTTCATCTGACCATGGTTAAAACAAAATAAAAATAAATTGCTCTGTCTTATCGCCCCTGGTCTTTGCATGTGTGCTGTGCTCCAAAGTTGGATGACCGACAGAATCTAAACTAAAAGCCCATTAATGAAAGTTACTGCAAACTAAAATTCTGACATGTTTCCTTTGATGTTAGTCTATAATGGGTAAAAAAAAAACCAACTAACAGGGGATCTACAGCATACACCTAAAACATCAACATCTTCGTCAACTCCACATTTTGACATGGCATGCCTCTATAATACACGATCCAAAAACCGGATGGGTACTTATCAAGACTCACTTGGAGATGTCTAGACTGTCTTGAGAGGAAATCTATAAGCTTACACTGAAATGTGGGGGCAGGGTGGTGTCGATGTCTCAAAATGAGCAGTTTGTAGTTTAGTTACTGTACACCATTTATTGTTGTTTTCCTGTGTACTCGTATGCATCTAAAGTACAACATTTAACATAGAGCCCCCCCAAAAAACAATTTTTATTACTGGAACAAGAATTCTCAGAAAAAATATTTTTGTTTATTGCTGGCCTACAGGTATGCCAAGCATAGTTTCATGCGTGTTGGCAAATTAATAAACGAGTGTGAATTTTTTAAACATGGACAGACGAAAGTGAACAACCTATACAAGTGCAGATTCTGTTAAAACAGAGAGTGCTTACTTGAAAAAAAGAAATTATACTTTTTGTTTTATGTAGTAGAATATACTGCTGTATTTTAAGTGAGAATACCAGCCATTACGAATATTTGTGCGGGAGAATCTATTATTCTGCCTAAAATTGTTAAGCTGGACAAAAATGTTTCTGTTGTTATAAATGTTTTTACATAGTCTCAACAAATGTAAAGCAAAATTATGTTTATTTCCTACTAGGTTGGTCGTGTTTTCTTCAAAGTTTGTATGATGCCTTGTGAGAATTCCTTTATTAAGTTGCAAAGCTTTTGGGAGAATTTGCTGTTATTTTACTTTTATAAAGGCTGATTGAGGCAGATGTGTTTGTCTTTTCTTATTCTTTTAAAAAAATGTTATCTTACTGCCAACATTTTTCCATCCAAACACTCTATAAAATGGGTCTGTTACTGTGCTACAACACCAATAGAACACGCTGTTAAAAAATGACACATTATCGATCATGAAAGATTTCAGAAAATTGAAACCCTTAAGTTCCTGAGAAAATCCAAGATGGCAGTGCTTCCCCTTAGTTTCAGGGCCACTAGCTTAGAAATAAACAAAATAAAATGCTACGTTTGGTTTATATTGTAAAACTGATACAAAAGTCTACATTACTACTAATGTACCTGGATCGCTAACAACAACTACTAATGTACGAACGGATGGTTAGAGGGCGCAACTGTTAGGTCCTTCTTCTTTTCTTTGCCTCTGTTATTTCCTTTTTGTGTTTTGTTGGTGTGCTTCTCTTAACCCAAACAAGACAAAATAATGTACAAGAGAAAATTTTAAGAATAATATTTACACTGGAAAAGGGCCTTAAGTTTGGGAAGACTTTCAAAAGATTTGGTATAAGTTTTGAGTTTTTGGTAAAAAAAATACACTGCAACAGCCTCCTTCAGGTTTTTTTTAGCATCTAGACCCCGAGTACATGGGTCACTTAATCTATTTGTATCAGTGATCATCACCGTTTTTTTCTGCCATGTATAGATGGAGACCAAAGTAGAGCATGTGGTGTGCCCAGGAGGAACATCTTACTGCCCTGATGGAACCACCTGTTGTCAACTTGCTTCTGGACAGTATGGCTGCTGTCCATTGCCACAGGTATGCTATGTTTCCTCAAAGTAAAGTTGACTATCTGTGCTGGCCACTGATGTGGTAGAAATAGAAGCTTGTAGTTTTTGCCATACTGTACAGTTTGGTTTTGGCTGGTTTCATCGATCCTTATGGAATAGTTGGCTTACCATACATACGTTGTTAAATAAATTCATCCGTAAAATAATTAACCAACGCTGTACAAAATATGACACCATTGTAGATATTGTCAACACACCATGGCGCATTTACATTGAGATGCTACTGTGTATGATGTACCGATGATATTGGAGAATAAGGGGTCAGTCTATCTGAAGTATGCCCAAGTAGAACTTGCAGTCCCTCATACAGGGAGCACAAGTTTAGCTTGCACCTAAACACTTTTTCTGCTGTGTTGTTTGTTCTTTTTTTTTGTCTTCTCTTTTTGATATAGACTGAAACATCTCACACAAACTTTAGATCAAGT